TTTGTCATTTACACCCTCTAGGTTGACTGACTGCTAGCTTTACATCCTGACACCTTTACTGCATTCTTTAGTCTATAACCCTTTAGACCCTCCAGACTGGCTAACTGCTATATTTACTATCACATCCACCAATTTGGCTTACGTCTATCTTAAAATACCCTATCAACTTTGAATTGTGAATTTGTATATTTTGTAAAGTATAAATTAGAAGAAATTTTCAGAGCACCCTCCCCCCACCCCCCTCCTTCTTCTAGATTAGATCAGTATGGCTGCTATTCTTGCTGTAATTATAACCATACTAATAAATTATCAATACCTATCTCTTCCCCCCTACCCAACCCCCCAACCCCCACCCCCACCCCTCCAGATTGTTATCAGCACAGTATTCTAGTAATTATAACCATACTTATAAATTATCAATACCTTGCTAACAGTAATGTAATATAAAATATGTATTGATATTTGGATCTGAACTGCAACACACCAGTTCATATTTATTGAAATTATTATTGATTACAATGAATAATTACTCACTTTTCTTATTGGTCTGACTTGTTATATTGTTGCTTGTATAGGTATTTGTCATAGTGACTTACTCTTAAAAGCACTGGCACAGGCATCAGAATTTTCTTACCTTGAAGAGGATTCGAACCCAAGGCACGTAATCACCGTGCAGACGACAATGAGACACGTGACTGACTGAGCTTTTTCACTGCCACTATTAGTATGACTTTGTTTGCTGTTACAGGTAGATATTAGTGCTAGGGGCTGCAAGCTGATGCTGAATGATTCTCGGAAGCACTGGCTGTGGTATCAGAATATTTTTTACCTTATTGCTTTTTAAGAACTCAATGATAAAAATTTGTAACTGAGGGGGTCAAAGTCTGGCAACAATTAAATAAACATAGGATAATACACCACAACCTGTTTTGAAATGACAATATTGAGTATTAGTGACATATATCTATAGTTTGTTTGTGTTGATTTTGGTATAATATTAATAACTTGTATGTAATACAATGTGTGTATATATATATATAAATATACAATTCCAATATAACCGATATATAGCTATAACCAGCCAGTGATATCATCAGTATATTATATATTACAGTCAAATCATTAGATATTATTGAGCTGTATAAGACAGCTACGGAAACCAGGGAACTGGCTTGGACTAGCACGTTTTATTATCAGTGTTATTCTCTCTACAGTAACTTCTACTAGAAGTTGAGTATTGATCAACGTTGAGCTGATTTTACACGGCAGCTTCCACTCTCTCTCTCTCTCCTTACTGACTGGAAGAAAATAACTTACTGAATACACCAGATTTCAGGTCTTTTGAACACGTTTTAAAAGATCCGTGACGATGGTACTTTACGTCTGTTCTCGTGCTCAGAATCGTGTGGAGATAACTGTTACATGTTTGAAGATATTTTAGAGATTTTAAGTGCTTGGAGTTTGTGTAGACGATATTTTTATTGTTGTTCGATTGATGTTGACGTCCTCAGAGACTGTTCTTCCAAGTTGTTATCAATATTGTGACCCGATGTAAATTGACGATGTCGGTAAATGTCAAACGATGTCGTAAATTTTCTGGTCAGTGATGGAAGTCGAAGCAATATGATATATTATCGTGTGATTTTCATTTTCTAAATATGGAATCAAATTAGAGATTTGGATTTGTGTGTTAGTTTTTGAGGTGTTTTGGCTGAAATTTGCATTGTGTGAGCTCTGCAGTGAATTTTAGTTTTTGGGGTGTTTTAGCAAATTTACGAGCTCTACAGTTGAATTTAGTATTTGAATGGTTTTGACTTTGTAATATGCGTGCTCTGCAGTAAGTTTAGCATATGAGGTGTTTTGACTTAAATTTGCAATGTTTGAGCTCTGCATAGTTTTTTAGTTTTTGTGGTTTTTTGACTTATTTTAAATGCATGATCTGGAGTGGTGATCATTTTGATAAACTCGACTGTTTTTCTCTAATTTGCTTCAAATTTGAAACAAAATAACTCAAAACTCAGTTGTTTTGAATTAAAATTCTTTTGTGATTGACCTAGCTAGCAGCTTGAAATCAAATCTTGAACAGGGATGACTAATGACTTACAAATCCAATATTCAACACAATCAGTCAAAAATCAACTTAGTTACAAATCTTGACAAAATCAGAACATTTTATAAGAAAAGGAAAATAGCCTGTAATGAAATTAGGCAGAAAATGAAATTTAATGTTTGCTGTTGTTGGTGTCTTGATGCATATTGTGTTTAGAACATATTGTGTTTAGAGCATATTGTGTTTAGAACATATTGTGTTTAGAGCATATTGTGTTTAGAGCATATTGTGTTTAGAGCATATTGTGTTTAGAGCATATTGTGTTTAGAGCATATTGTGTTTAGAGCATATTGTGTTTAGAGCATATTGTGTTTAGAACATATTGTGTTTAGAGCATATTGTGAACAGATTTAGATTATATTTGGACTTGATTGCTTAATTAGTTTGAGTTTTGTCGTAAGAAGCCACTTCTGATTTTATCATATGGACAGCGAAATATTTCAAAATAGAAATCCAAAATCCAGGTTTTAAAACTGAAATTTAAAATTGATCCTTGACGTTATAAAACAAAATTGATTTTTATTTCTCGGGATTTTTTAACGTAACTACTTCTGACCTTGAAATCTATTCCATCAATGTCAAACGAGACAGTTTAAAAATAGATAAACAATGTGAGATATTTATTCAATATCTGATTTTAAGAATTCTGGGATATTATTTAAATCGTCTGTGGTCTGTGGTTCGTCATTGAAATCAGATAAATTACGTCTTTGAATCATTTGATAATAATTTCAACTCGACATTTTTAACTTAGAGATGATGAATTTCAGTCTGGAGAAATTAAAATTAAATTTGGAATTGTGGGAAATAAAAGGTCTAAGTGACGAGACATTTTCATAAATTAACCACAAATATAACGTGAAGTTTTAGAGAATGAGAGAGTGAAAAACTTTACAGAATTCCATAAAATTTGAAACCTATGCTTAAGTTAAAAGTTACAGAACCACCGGCACTGGACTAGGTCACAAGTATTAGGTGTTATAGAAGCACTGGCCTAGGTCACAAGTATTAGGTGTTATAGAAGCACTGGCCTAGGTCACAAGTGTTAGGTGTTATAGAAGCACTGGCCTAGGTCACAAGTATTAGGTGTTATAGAAGCACTGGACTAGGTCACAAGTGTTAGGTGTTACAGAAGATACTCTCCTATAGAAGCATGGTATTAGGGGTCACAAGTATTAGGTGTCACAAGTATTAGGTGTCACGGCATTACAGAAGTACTGGCTTAGGTCACAATTATTCGGCATTATAGAAGCTCTTTGAAGATTAGTGCCGACATTGATGCTTGGTTGGAATCCATTAGAGTAATTTTTAATCCCTCCTGATTTATAAAATGTAAAGATTTTTGAAAGATTTGGGAGATATTTTTTTGCCGTGGAAAGATTGAGTATAGATGATGATCTTTAATTAACGGTAATAAAGATTTATTTGCGGTTGGAGTTTGAGATAGTCTTGGCACGCTTCCAATTTACGTCATCAATAATTCCACAAGTGCAGTGAATTTACTGCGAGAAAAAACCCGTCGAGTGTAGAAAAAAAATAATAATCTGATTTAGTTTTTATCTTGGAAAATAAATCACACGTTTTATTTCTGTGGTTTTTCTCGAATTTTGTTGCAGGTTTCACAACTAAAAGTGATTAGTTAATATGTATAGAATATTAGTTAGTTGTTGAAAATTGAGAAGATTATTTCATTGTTATAAAAAGATTCTAGAGTTTTTGATTTTGAGTTGTGTAATCTGATATTTTGTTGGTGTGTTGAATTTTGTGTTTTGCAGGCAACAGGTTCAAGAGTTTTAGATTTTGATTTGTGTAGAATTCGGAAGTAAGATTCAGGCCTGAAACTGAGAGCAAACCTCTACGTGTGTGTAGAGTTTGTTAAATGGAATATTTGTTAATTTGTAGGTCGAAGTAAAGATTACTAAGAAGATTCAAAAACGATATCTTCGTGGTTTTAATATAATACAGAAAATATGTGAAAATCTGTGATCATACGAAACAAGAATGAACTTAATGGTTTCATAAGGATTGAAATTTCCATGTGAACTCTCTAAAACGGTTATATTTTAATGTTCAAACTATTTATATCTAATTAACTTTTTCTCCAAATGTTCTAGGAATTCGAGGATACAACAATGGTGGGGACGGTAGCAGAAATTCCGAATGGATGATCATAAAGTGACAATATTTTGTGTATTACTCATTTTACTTGGGAAATTTTTATTTTGGAATTTTAGCCGATTGGTCTGTTAGTGGGAATGAACGAATAGATAAAACTCACTTTATATGGAATACAGTTTTTTGTAGAAAAACACCAAAAATTAAAAATTTGCCAAAATGATGCAAAAGCTGCAATTCCTGACGCCAAATTTCCGGCGGAACGGAAAAGTGAACATGGCAAAAGGATCATCGAGTGATAAACCAAAAGAAAAAACAAAAGACAAAGCTAAACGTCGACAATCGGTTATTTTTACTTCCAGGCATGCCGAAGATATGATAGTGACGCCGTTCGCACAGATTCTCGCCTCATTACGTAGTGTCAGGAATAACTATATCAACTTGACGAATGTTACCGGTAGTAAGGAAAGGTCAGTACCACTTATTTTTATCCTGTTGCAAATATGAACATTATTGCTGTCACCCCTGTCTGTCTTGATGGCCCATACATCAACATTTCACAATGAACTTTGTTGCTTTTTTATCTCCTTGAAACCCTGGACGTTCGTTGCTGTCATTCCTGTCAGTCTGTTGGCCTGTCTATCAACTTTTACCCTTAGTTTGGTCTAAAGAGTAAAAATCAGCTTGTTAGCTTGACAGAAGTGGCAATTTTCTTCTGATTTTGAATGAAACTTGTTATGTAAATTGAGATCTGGCATGAGTTCTGTTTTGACGATGTTCTGATGCATAGTTTCAGTGTTATTGCCCTTGATTAGATCAAAATGTGTCGTATAACCTCGTTAATACAATATAGTTCTCCTCTGATTGAAGGTCTTCCACATTGCAATCAGTGTCAGAGCCAAAGGCAGGGCAGAGGCAGAAAGTTTTTCGGGCATGACTCTCATAACGAGGTTAGAAATTTGTGCAACCACAGATATTTCACCCTCCATCGGACGTCAATCTGGCTTCGCCACTGTTTGCAATTCACAAACCCAATGCAACAGTTCTTAAAGCAAATATTTGGACAAACGTGTCCCTTAAACCGATTACTAAGTGCGTAAAATTAACAGCATTGTTCATGAATATGAATATTAATGAGGTAATTAAGAATATTGATCATTAGTGATTAATCTGATCAGTAATTATTGATCAGTAATTAATTAGGATTATCGCCTAATCAATATTCCTAGCTTTATATCCAATTTCCAATTTCCGATAATACTGATCTCTTTAACCTTAAAGGGATTGTTCTAAAGAGGTTTTCAGAAATCTTTTATGTGTATCGGGGACACTGATAGCACCAATGTGCAGCATTACAATTTTTACTCAGTCGTCTGTGGTTTTTGAAGTTCCAGTAAAACCAATTATTTTCTGAGGTCTCTATTGCAAAAACTCCTTATGATTGTAATGGCATTTGTAAGAGTGGCATCATAATCTAGTCGTGAATTGTTTTAATTGCTGGAACCACAGAAGTCCGACAGAAAACAGAATGGTGAAAATGAAAGCTATCATTGTACCTGATACACATTAAAAGTTTACGACACCTCTTTACGATTCCTTTACAATAAAAAAAGGTTTATTTGGAATTGAGGTTTGTCAACTCAGCATACCTTTCTGAGAGACACCTAGCTTAAAATGTTACTTCAGTATTTAGGGTTGTCAACTCAATATCACTTCAGAGAGTCCACATGGCTGATAATGTCTACAATTAACCTTCATTGCCAATACTGGCTGTCCTGATAAAGATTGATGTACACATGATTGAACTAAGTAGAGTAGATATTTTATGCAGATTCAAGCACAATTCTGAACATAAACAAGAGTATTCTAATGTGTTTTGTGGTAGGAAAATTGTAACTAGTGTTAGCACTATGTAAACTAGATTTATATTGTGTTCTTCACTACTTAAATATCTCAAAATAAAGTGAACTGTTTGTATTTTTAGTTTGAATTTTGCTTCAATGTGCATAAACATCTCCTCCCATATCAAATACCATTTTTATATTTTCATTATCATATTTTGCAATGAAAGCATATTGTAATGAATAGTATAATATAAATGTTTTGATATGAAAGAGTATTATAAGATTAGTATATGAATGTATTCCAGGGCAATATAGAATATACCTGGTTGATAATGAATAGATTGTAACATATTGTATCACAATAATATTAGTATTACAATGTTTCTTAATATATTCTTATTGACCTCAAATTAAACTTTGAATTTCTTACAAATTATGAACATGATCTGAAATTATTTCAAAAAGAAATTGAATAGAGTTTTACACCCTACTTTTCTACTCATTAAATATTCGGCTATTAAAAAGTTTTATAATGGAAAATAAGTAGGTTTAAGGACTCATAAACATTTTTGGGGTTCCGCAAGTAATACTAGACCTCAGGTCTATTTGAGCTATGTGAACTCTGTACAGGTAGAACTGTTTTGGTCCAAACATTGTATAACATTATTACTACAAAGTTCTTACTGTATTTGTCATGACCCAAAGTTAATCCGTTAACAAAAGGTTATGACTTTGTTATATATAATTCAGATCAACCTTATTAGCTATGTGAACTCTCTAAAAACCTTATTGATTAGTATACTTAACTTCAATAGCTTAATGATAATAATATATTTATTACAAAAGGGGAAAAAATTAGGCCATATATTACCAACGAGCATCAAGATCTCCGTTTTAAAAGTTAACCTTACTTGCAAAATTTTACCAGATTCCATTAAATTGTGTGAAATAAGAAAATCTATAATTTTGGAAGTATTTAGCTTATTATAAAATTGGGACATCGGAAATGCGGAAAGTTGTTGCCTGGAGATGAAATGTCCTTCAGAAAATAAAACAACTGATTGGTTGAGAGACCTGGAGGAGAAGTTATTGTAAGGACATAGTTAACCTTTACATTAGGCAAATATTTATTCCCAGTAACAATTTATTCTCCCTAATTGTCTTCTGCTGGGAAGATTTATAAATTGTTGTGGTTTTGACCCGAGGGAGGGAATTTCTCTAGTGGAATGTCTTCTTAATGAAAAGGATATGAGACTTGCTCCAGGCTGTTACAGTTACCTCCCACAATTAGCAATTAGTAGATAAACGAATTACTGAACATTGCTGCAGACTGCGTTTTAATTGGACCAATATTTCGGTAGAAATGTAATTCATAGTCTAGTCTACGTCACGCTGACGTCTGGTTTTAGTGAACAATTTTAGCTGGGAGTCAATTTAAAGATCCATATTATTGATTCTAAATGCCTGGTGGATTTAGGCCTACCATATGTGGACTCTCAGGAAGAGATGCTTTGCTGACAAACCTTAATACCAAATTAATATTATTGGCTCTGTAGATTCTCCAAAAGTAAAGTTGATGCTGAACCCGACTTTCCTGATATATTTTCAGTATATCAAGGGAGTCACCAATCTGTGTCAAATCATACATGTATGTCCAGTCAGAAAACCCTATTACCAACTAAATTGGTAAATTATAAAAACTAATAGCGTTACCATATGTTACTGTGAATATTAATTGGTTGATGTCATTGCAGAAATAATATTAGCCAATCAAATTTCTAGAAATTTATAAGATACAAGAACCCGAAATTTGGCGCTGAAAAAAATTCCTTGAACCTTTTCAAGAGTTCCTAAATACCTTGACATCTAACAAAGATTGTTACAGCAAGAATTAGGGCTAAATATTGACTTGCTGATGTCTTTTCTACGAGGTTCCACATCATGAATAATTAATGGATGTTAATGGACAAGTCAGTAATTACGCTTGACGACGGGCGATTGTAGTTAGAGAAAAAATGAAGCTTGGGCCGAGCAGAAGACAAAATGGTTTGAGTCTCTAAAAGGAATGCCGAGCTGACAAATCTAAATACCAAATAAACATTATTAGCTATGTGGACTCTCTGAAAGGAATACTGAGTTGACAAATCTAAAAACAATATAGACATTATTAGCGATGTGGACTCCCTTAAAAAGATTTCAAGTTAGCTGGTAATTACACTTGTTGATTGTCAAGTATAAGAAAAATTAAAGCTTGTGTCGGAACAGAAGACAAAATGATAAAGTGTTGTTAAGGAAATAGACAGATGTATCGAGAACTTGTCATCGATGTGATGTTGGACGTCTAAGCCTGGCAGGCAGACAACATTCGTTAGAGAAAAGAAACAGACGACACTTGGCAAATGGCGGGAATATTTGTAATTAGTTTAATTTAACATCTGGAGAGTAATTTGACATTTTCGATTCCGTTGTCAAGTAGAACAATAATTTTCTTCTCTTTGGTCATCGTCGTCGTCGTCAAATAAAAAAAAGGGAAGGAACTCTTAGTCTGTTTCAGATTGATAAAAATTGCTTTTTTCATGGGTTTCTTTTTATTCTTCATAATTTACCAATTTTATTAGTTCTTTGTGGACTTTGCGATAGGGATTATAACTCGGGAAACCCAAATTGAAATTAATAGCTGAAAGCATACCTGACAATTCTAAATTCAAATTAGAAATTATTAGCTTCGTAAACTCTCTGAAATGGATGTCAATGTTGTCAAACCTAAATACCCAAATAAACATGTGTTAGCTTCAAGGAATTGTTGAAAGATTCTTTAGATTCTGCAAAAAATGCTAAGTTTACTAACCCAAGTACAGAGTTAGATCAGATATTAGCATGATCTCTCTTACAATCTACTGTTTCTATGATCAACCTGCCCGCCTTGATCACTCTCGTGTCTTTTTATCCCGTCTGTCACCAAGAAGTGGGAAATCCAGGCCAACTTTATGCAAACATTTCCCAACACTCCCTACAAAGTGAATCAATTTATTTTGTTATTTTCAATTTTTTTTAATTTACGTTTTTCCAGCACTTTCTTACAAGAACCTCCAAGTAAAAGCAGGTGAGAAGTGACCCCCAGTTTTCTAGCCCTGCACCCACAACACATTACCCCTCTCCCTACCCATGACAGAGAAATGCCAAGCCTTATTCTAACATTTTTGTTTGTTTATTTCACAGATTTTTGTAAAATATGTAATTTAGAATCTAAAATACATGCTTTATCTTTTATTTTTCTTAAACTTGCTCTTTTTGCCTTTGAGGGGGGAGGTGTACTAGCGATAACCCCACTCTATTATATAAAAAATAAATAATAAGGCAGGCATTTCTCCCCAAACCAACAATTCAATACTAATCTTTTCCTATCTATAAATCTATATAAATCTAGCCTCCATAACTTTCTTGTCTTCATATTAATCTTTATAAACTAGCTTGACTTCCTGCTAACAAAATGAAACTTTTCCCATGTGAACTAATTATTTTGTAAAATGGTATTTTTTGTCCATCTCTATTTTGATCAACTTCCTAAACAAGGCCAAGTTGTAAATACAGGAATATTTCTTATACAGTGTATAGTACGATGACAAATTACATGTTGAGCTGTAATTTGTGTTAGGGTGTATTGAGTCTCAATGAAAGCACTGGCCTAGGTCACAGAGCAATGGATAAGTTTATTAATTATGTGAACATTAGCTAGTCATTAATAATTTGTGTATCACAGTGCCCTTAAAATTGAAATTTTGCGATGGATGGATGGCAAGGATAAAACAACATCCCTCCTTCATCTTATGATTCCTTGAAACAAACTATTGGCATTCAACATTGTCATAAATTGTTCATTTTCAAATCAGTGTAAGTGAGTCAGATGAATGATGCTGATACAGATATTTTATGTGTCCCCTAAATACTCTGATGGATGAATTACTAGCTTGTTTTGTTCCACATATTGTGTAGAAATAGGTGAATTTGTGACATTCTGATAAAAACCATGAAGCTAATTCTGAAAATAATGTGCTGTGTTTTCCTACTAATCTCTGTTAATTATAAAAAGTTAATTTATACTACGATGTGGTGTGATACAAAACATAACAGATTGATTTGAGGGACATAATGTGCATTAACCCTTTTAACATTGAGTGTGAATAAACCAAAACATCATATACCCTTAACCCTTTTAACACTGAGTGTGAATAAAACAAAACATCATATACCCTTAACCCTTTTAACACTGAGTGTGAATAAAACAAAACATCATATACCCTTAACCCTTTTAACACTGAGTGTGAATAAAACAAAACATCATATACCCTGAATTTCAAGTAATATAACTTAAAGTATATGACGTAAAATTAAAATGACATCACTTGGTAAAAGCTGCTTCACCAGTCACTCAGGTAAAAATCACGCAATTTTGTGCTCAGTAGAATCGCTGCGAGAAAACCATGAGAAAGCTACCGATCCTTTCCTGGTCGAATTTTCCAAGACATGAAATATTTAAACTTAGCTGAACTTTGACAAGAAAATGATTTTTATGCAGGTATTCTGTCCAATCTGAACATCCAAACAGCACCTTGATCTTCAGCAAAGTAAAAAAAAAACCACAGAAGGTTATTGAACTATATTTCAATATGATCTATGCCAGATTAAATCTGGATCACTAGGTTTGAACTAAACATCGACGCGTAGCTAGACCCATCATGGTTCGATATAACTTCTTCTAGATAATCCCGATTTAAACCTAGCAATTAGCAGACTGTACAGGCCTATAATTAGCTAAAAAAATTTACAAGTCATATTTATTCATATCAATTAAAGCCTTCATTAATAATATTGATCTGTGAGATAATGATAGGAGGCTGGAGGTGAAAACGCTAGAAATGAGATGTGAAGAGTTGAAATTAAAGGGTAGAAACGAACTGAGGTCGTTAGTTTAATCCATAGTCTTGATTTCTTAGTCTAATTAGTGGAACAGGACTGGATAAAGATGTTCTTACGTTAAAACAGTTGAAAAGAAAAAGAAAAGGCTAGTGCTGCAGTCCTTGAAAAATTTCCCTAATTGCACACTGCATTGCATTGATCAAATCAAGTCCAATCTTTTACATAAGGATGGAATGGCTGACTTGAATGGTACAATAAATCGAGGATCTGTGTGCTGACATTTCAAATCATGTGACAGTTGGAAATTGAAAAAGAAACAGTGCTGCAGTCCTCGTAAAGATGTTATTGGATTCTTTGTATGTCTATGGTGTTTAAGAGAAAGGTCAATATTTTAAAATGTCAATTTCTCTTATTTCGGATGTTGAAATTGACTGATATCAAATTCAAAGATACGAACAAATAAAACGCATTTCGTGAAAATATCTCCGAAGATTTCTCATCTATAAGCTGCTTATTTATTCTGGCAGACGTGGTCAGTTTACGTGGCTTTGACAGTTTCAATTAGCAATACACGATCTGGTCACACAATCCCCCGGGGCTTCGTAATAGGATCGAGAAAAATAATTGATAATATCTGGGTCATCTTGACACATATATAGAAATATTTCTCCATACTTTCCTGGCATCGACAACTCAAATGAGATAAACATCAGGATACAAATATTTCTCATATTCCTTATCTGATTTCTGAGCTTTTATTTTTGAGTAGTGAAGAAGTTCTTTTGATCTTTAGTTACTGCTCTTTAGATATGTCAGACATTAAATTTATTGGTGCATTCCTGTTTGTGCTACTAGAACTTAATTCTATACGATTAATATTAACTGTTAGAATCCTTAATAGAGATGCTGTGCTGAGAAAAATAAATACTAATTAAACATTGATTTAGCTATGTGAACTCTGTGAAAGAGAAAACTTGATTTCAGATGTTTGCGATAAGTGAGCATGCCCTGCCAATTACTTAATATAAAGAAAAGTTAAAACAAAACCTAACTGTCCTGATGAGGATTGTATATCTGAAACAGATGTCGATAGCATTAGTTGCAGTCAATTTAAACATGTAAGCCATGAAATTTCTTTCCTACATTCCTTACTGTGTATTTCATCATCGAGTGACGTTCTAGGAAATAAGTGAAATTTTTACGTGCAAGTGAATTCGGTATTTTAATTGCTAGAAGTAATCTAGAAAGATGAGATCCTGATAAACTTTTCTCTTCCACTCAGACTGGCATTTGACGTCACGATATCCTCCATTATCGTCCAATTTTAATTATTAACTGATTTCTTCACACTGCCGTTTATATCGGTCTGGTTATGAAATTAGTTGCCTAGTAACAAATTTCACTCATAATTCCTGTAAATCTGAGATATTCAAAGAAAATATGAAACTCTCGATTGTTTTTACTTATTGAAAGTATTTTGAAGGTCACTTAGTAAAGGTCGTACATGCTTTTAATTAGAATTTGAATCTGTTAGATTAATCATGGTAATAAATAAAGAATGCATAGTGTATTTGACTTGGGTCAAATAAAATAAAGATTGGAGATGTAAAATAAAGATTGGGGAAGTAAAATAAAGATTGGGGATGTATGTTATGATCAAGGGGTAATACTAATGATCTGTGTATAAATCTAAGTCTAGTATAGATCAAACAGGCGTTTAATTTGAAGATAAATCTGTTTTATTTGATACAATTAAGAAAGAGATGATTAATAATTTCCATCAATATGAATCACTGACTGGTAAAGAAATCCTATCAACAGTCTAGAGCTCTAGTCAGACATGACTGGTAAATACAGTCAAATCAACGGTCTACAGCTCTAGCCAGACATGACTGGTAAAGACAGCTAAATCAACCGTCTACAGCTCTAGTTAGATGTGACTAGTAGATACAGTCAAATCAAAAACCCTGATTGGAATACCTGACACGTTGAATTGAAGTAGAAAATTAATCAATCAATTTTTGACGTAAAGATGAATTGAAGTACGTGTAAAACATGATCGGGGATTGGATAGAAACTTTATCCAGTCTGTCATAAAGTACAGACAACCCTAGATTACTCTTCATAAAGTACAGACAACCCTAGTTTACTCTTTTATAATCTGTAAAGTACAAACTATTAGCTTTTAGTGGGTTTGAATCTCAAGATAAGAAAAATTCTGATGCCTGTTCCAGTGCTTACTTAACATGCTTTGATTGGTGAAAAATATTGTCATTAAAAAAGGACTGCAATAGATAACTTGTAAGATTACAATGGAGATGAAACTAAAGCTACTGTTCTGCCAAATTTACTTCATAGTGCACTGCATGACTTCTGCCTGAACCTGGACGTTTGATGAGATACAAAATATCTAAGGTGTCGTACCATACCAAAAAAACATGAACTCTGAACTACTCCTAATAGAAGTCAATTTAACGATTTTAAAACGCACGAGCTCTTTTACTTGAAAGAACTTTAACACAGAAAGCGTTGATAAAATTAACAAAAGAAATTCTTGCTTAATTAACATGCGTTTATAAACGGACGATTTTTGTCGGTGAATTTTTCCTGAACAACGATCGTTTGTGAAGATTTTTCTAATCAAGAAAGTAAAAAAGGTCTGAGTAATTTACGAGAAACTTTACAAGTAAAGTGAGTTTAGTGGGTAATTGTATTTGGGTCTAATTTCGTTACGAGAACAATCGTGTTGTGAGTAATAAGATAGAACTTTAATTCAAACGAAAATCAAGCTCGAGGCCAATGTTTCTTAATCATGCTTTCAGTCAGTGGTTCTTACTTTTTAGCGAGAAATTCCGATCATGTTTTGTAGAAACTAGCAATTGACTTCAATTACAGACTTTTTTATTAACATAATTAGCATTAGCAAATTTGTCAAAATAATTTTAAAGCTGAAAATTCGCAGCATTCTTAGTTCCAATCTTGTAATCTTCTTTAATTCGTGAATTTTGAATTTTTGAATTGAAAAATTAACCCAAGAAGAATGTAATGTTGATATTGTATTGGGGAGAATTTACAATTTGGTCAAAAATTTGAATGAAAGTAATAAAAATCAAGTAATTAATACTGGTATAACGAGATTTCAGAATGTTCCACTATTATCTTAAAATAGTAAAAGTACTGTATTGTAGGAGGCATTCACAGAATTTTTTTTCTATAAATGGATAAATTCGTTACCAGAATGAGAACTGAATTCCTTTTATATCATGAGAATTTTTATCTTTTTTTCTAGTTCTCTTATTGTTTGTTTGTAGAGCTGAATAGACTTTTAACTTTCTTCAATTAAAATGTGGATCATGTTTTGTTACGGAGAGATCAATGCCCATATTTTAATTATCTACGTCTGAATACCTGTAGGTTTCCAAATTTAGAATAATACAAATATAAAATTTGATCTATTTTCACTCTTGAGTACTATTTGAATTCAGATTTAGTTTAACTATTATGTTAATCATAAATTCCGTTGTTATAGAAACTATTTTGGGCTGTCTTGAAGGGGGCATGCTGAGAAATTTTCTAAATATGGACTTGATTAATTATGAAAATGTACGCGTGGATGCTATTTTTTGCTGACAGAAAGAGTTAATCAATCAAATGATAATTAATCTTTTAAAATTAACGAGCTATTTTGAGCTTGGTCCAATAACCCATTTCCTGTTACTTTCTAATCATGAAAGTTTTTCCATTATTTTATTCGTTAAAACCGAACGCGTTGAGTAAATAATGAAATATTTTAATAGCATGAATACGTTCATCTAGATTTAATGGCGTTGAACTTGTTGGTATGACGTCAGAGAAAAATACTGGTCAATATTTCCTCACGTTAAGCGTCATAATACTTTAAATATGTCAATAATATCGACACAGAATAATTCCTGAGAAAAATTAGTCGATCCATCAAAGTTTGTACCGTGTTATTTTATCAAATTAAGTTATTATTCGACTTAAAACCCTCATCTATCATTTTTCAACCAATATTCTATTCTAATCTTTAACGCAGAGTACTGAAGACGGGGTTATCCAGTTATTAATCCTATATCAAAGATAAAAAATGACTGGATAATGTTTCTAAATCTGGGGTCAATCCAGGTGCATCTTTTAGCGTCGGAATTGATGAAAGTTTGATGAAAGTGTGTCTTTTGGTGCTTTACAGTCAGCGCTACTTGTACTGAATATACATTACTGATGCCATTTTAAACATAAACTCCTGGGAAAATGGGGACATTTTGATGTGTGTTTTGGTACATTACTGCCAGCGACACTCACTGGAAAGACTATTCTGATGAAGACATTCCAGGTGTTCATTAGAAATGTTGTACTAAATTTCTCATCATACCTGGCATGGTGTTACCTATCTTCAATAACAAAATCAGGTTTGAAAAATTACGACCTAGGTCTCCATGTCACTCTCACTGGAAAGACAATCTTGGGTAGATTCCATGACATTGTTCATCTTCATTACAAAGATAAGGTTTGGCACACTCAGACCTTAGTCTCCCTTTTACTCAATTTTACTCTATCTTAAACAAGCTGCTCTTCCTGACAATTTCATCTAGGAAATGTTTGTTGACAACCTAAGATAACTTCTGTGAAATCAGGAAATTCGTTCCATGAATTAAAGAAATAAGATGACAGAATAAAAAGAAACTGAATGGCTAAAAGTCTGAAGCCATGTAAAAGTGCTATTTTAATCACACGAGTCTAGTTCAGTCGGCCACTAGAACCTTTCACAAGCCTTCACATTTGGAAATGGAACAATGCCCTGTCCACTATGTTTAGCCCTCGAATTTTTTTTAAGGGGGGTGGGCTTAAAATTGTGAGGGAGAGGATAGAATAATGTTTTAATCAGTCAGTCACCAGAACTTAACAAAAACCTTCTCAATCGAAAATGGAATCGTCCTGTCCTATTAGCCCTGAACATTTTGTGGAATGACTTAAAATGGTAAAAATTTTAGGGAGAGGATAGCTTAATTTTTTAATTTAGAGGTGTCTAGGTTAGTTAGGCATTGGTACCTTATAGAATTCTTCAGATGTATGTTTTGGATACAGAATAATTGACAGTGTAATATCTTAGTATCCAGTCTTTAAGACAGGAGGTTCGTTCCCCCCTTCCTGCATTTGGCTAACCCTGGTACAAAATTTCAACCAAAAGTCCAAAAGTCATAAATTGGTCGTACATCCATTACTAATAACATAAAACACTACTATTATGATTTTCTGCAAGGCTTCTCTCATACACCCTCGTGATCTGTGGCATTCTTTAGGTTCACAAATAACATCCCAGGGTAATGCACATTTAAAAAAATATATATTTAGTACAAAAACAAAATGTAGGAAAAAAGAACTACATTAAGATCTTTATTGCAATTTGAGACCAGTTAACCCTGTCTATAAAAACAAGTAGACTTGTTAATAGAGTCTAAATTAGTCAATATTCAGTCAATAGAACTGGATATGAATGTCTCCGAGGAATTGAGGCTCGCCTAATATTTCTGCTTCGCTAATTTCAGTGAAAAAACTAACGAGAGGGAACAGACCTACATAATAGAGACTATAAATAACTGATTAAAATCAATAACTGGCAATTAAGTCTGGATAATTAGGACTACTTGGTTTTTATCTCTTTAATGTATTCGTACAAATCGCTGGTGTTGCTTCACGCATAAAACTTGAGTATTAAGTGAGCCGCATTGACGTAAACTCTCATCATGGTTTCGTTAACTATCGTCACCGAGTGACGACCTAGCAATAGATTGTTGCCGAGGAAATCAATATTCTTCCATCCTTCGATATTGAAGAGCATGATTTACTGGTGTCATCTCGTTACCGTAGTGATTACTTATCAATAGAGTTTTGGTTGGAAAGTAACGGAATGTGGTGTATTGATTGGCTAAAACATGTGTTGATTATTTTATAACCAGATTAACGTGTCACAGTGACGGCATGGCAACCTGACATGACAGGTGTCTATTGGTGCCAATTGATGCCAATTGGTTTACCAATGTACTAAAATTCAACTTCTTCTTCTCTCCCCCACTCCTCCCTCCCAACACCTCCCAGCATGGCAACATGGTGACAGGTGTGTGTTAGTTTTCAAAATGTACTTGCTGATAGTAATACAAGGAAAGCTGCATTAGTTTCATGTCTTCCAACATAACAGAAAATTTGATAGGGGGGATGTGTTATACATGCAATTTTTACCCTCTCCCCCTCTAAAAAAAACCTGATAACATACAGTTGAACAAAGGTACAATATAATAGGGGGATAAGTTTTACATTGAATGTCCTCAACTAATGCCCCTCAAAACTTAACCAAAACACGTGTAGATATACAAGATAATATCTGAAGCTAATAAATAAATGGCGCTATTTTAATAGAAAGAAAACCCTAAAATCTTTAAGTTTAACATTTGTGAAATATGACTCATTACTTGTGTATAATTTTGCAGTAAGATGTAATTTAAATAAAAGTTTAATTTTTTGAATTTTATGTTTTTCAGAACGTCCAGACGTGGGTCAGGTCAACATGCCGGAAGTCACAATTTACAGTCACAATCCTCAACACAACCTCCGTCTCCTTCGAGAGGGGGCAGCGGAACGACGTCACAAAATATGCAAAATCTTTCGCCTGGTGGCAACAAAACTACTGGTAAGTGTTGATTACAATTTACATTGAAACAGGGTCATTTTTTTTCTTTGGAGGTTTTCTTGGACAATGGCTTTAATGGCTCAGTAAGTGAATTTAGAGGGATTTGAATCCTATTCTGTGATTGCAGGTTTGAGGGGATAATATGGAATAGTGCAAGACTCTCTGAAGCCCTATAGATTGAAATTTGGGAAATTACAGAGAAAGCAATACATTGCTTAGCTCTTTTAACAACATCAGAAATATAAGCTTGCACGAGCTTTGTCCCCTTTTTAAAATTTATTTAATGATTTTAGGAAATACAATTCTTTTGCTTTAGATTAGACATTTTAAAAAGGGGACATAACTCTTGTAGAATTGATGTAACAAACACTAAGAAGATTCAACGAAGCATCTAATTTGATAATTAGATGAAATTGTCTTTTATGTCCATCTTATCTGTACCTAATCTGACACCTTAAGTGTGCAATGAGGGAAATTTTACTAAGATCTACTCTTTATAATACCCAGGAAATAGCTCATTTCAATAGAACGACAAACCTATAATGGGAAATAACTCTACTTTAAACTTCTGTATGATTTACCAGACAACAATTAATAAATGAAACTGGAAAATGATAATTGATAATAATGATTGGTCATTCAGTAAAATAGATTTTGTTTAATTACCCAATCAAGAGCCTTATTATTAAAATGATTTTTCTGTTCCAGTCATCTGATTGGTTAATCAGTAAAATCAGTTTGAAGTTATTGACCAATCAGATGACTCGAACAGAAAAATCATCTTAAGTTAACTTTAATTATCCAATCAGATTACTATTTTTCTAAAAGTCTGGATTTTATCTATTTGAAATTACGACAGAAGGCCCCTAGTGATAGTTGATTCTCTCTCTATCATTGTCGTTGTCTGCTTCGAGTTAGTGGGTGTAGTCTGGTCTTAATAGGGCTATAATTAACTTGGAAACAAAATTGTCCGTCTGAGAGGAAAAAGATCTCTGAAAATAAGTTTATATGATACGAAACTTTGACACGATAATCATTTATGGCGACATAGACTAATTTATAGATGATTATAATAATAACAGTAGGCTGGGCTATTTATGACCTATTTCTCAATAAAACCTTCAAATTTTAATTATTGGAGAATCAAAAGAATAGTGTGGGTGGTTTTTAGAAGTGGGGGTCCTCGAAAGGGCAAGCATGATTCATCTCTGTGGTTGTCATGGATTTGAAACATTGACACATTAATTATGAGTATCTAACTAGACTAATATAGATATCAATATGACGCAAGATGCCATTTCTAAATGAATACTTATGAATTTGACTTATTGTGAGGGAGATGAGACTATAGCTTCCGGGTGATGTAGACACAAAAGATAATTTAAGCTGTCGGGAAGTCGGGGCCCGGAAAGGGCATGTAAAATTTATCTCCATGGTGAGATGCTATTTTTATATGAAAACTTTGATGTGACAATTATCGTAGGAGGTTGCTATCATAGTTTCCAAGTAATGTAGAAAAATAGTGGGGGATGGGGTCCTAGAAAAGGGCATGTATGCTATATCTCTGTGGTTGTCATGGATATGAAACATTGACACTATAATTACGAGTAGCTATGTAGAATAATTTAGATATGGCGATGATTATGATAATAATAGTACTTACGTCTGTATTTATGACGCGAGATCATATTTCTAAATAAATCTTGATATGACAATTAGTGAGGGGGTGAGTTGAAATGATAGTTTCCAGGTAGTATTTAGGATGATGTAGGGCAATGAGATATAGAAACAAGATAAGGAGATGAAAGGGGGTCCAAAAATAAGGGGGAAAGAGCATGAACACACATCTTGGACTCAGGGGTGGTGGTCAAGAATATTGATTTTGTCAGAAAAGGGCATGTGCCCGATTGAAAGCTTTGATGTATCAGAAAGTTTATACTATTTATATACTATCCAGATTTGAAAAAATACAGTAATCTGATTTGCTTATAATGCTAAATTTAAAATCAATTCTTGAGATTGACCAATAAGATAGCTGGAAACTTAAATCAAGTTTTTGTGAAACTGTTCCAGATTCTTACCTAACAATTCTGGCATTTTGACTGACCCTCAAAATCCCATGACTGGACTTTATAACTGTGGACATAGGGTACGTGATATACAGATTAAAATTCAAATACAACTTCGTCATATGACCCTAGATGACCTTTAAATTAGCTTTCACTTGAACGTCAATGACAAGTTTTATCTGATAGCTCAATGTTTTTGAGATAAGATAGAGAATGTGTTATCTCCCTTAGCTTGTATGATAAACTTTCACCCAATTCTCACCTGGTGTAATTCATCATGAAATAGGCTATAGTTTTAAGCAAAATCATCTTGATGAAAAAAAATTGATATTATTAAAACCAAGGCAACAGTTTGGGGCAAAATCTTCTGGACATTTTATTTTAAGGAAAATTTCTTGAGTTATTCTTTGATTTAGGGTAGTTGAAACTTGAAAATTCGTAAGTTGGTTTTATTTTGACAGGATTGAAATTTTCAATTTTCCCTTAAAAAAAATTTACATCGGAATTGTGGGTAAATAATTGATTCAGAACAGTAGGAAATAAAACTGTTTATTTTCTCATATTATCAACTGTCAATTTTATTTTAAAGGAACAGAAGCACCATTTTTTTTACCAATCATACTTGAGTCTCAGAAACAGGAATTTTTCGGCTGAACCAATCGGTAATAGGGTTCACATGTCACCGTCAAATTTTGAGCCTTCAAATCCCTGTGCGTCTAGAATTATCTGCGAGTTGGACATGAATTTTCAAGATTAGAAACAGAACAGGATATAAAACTCAATTTCATTGGCTAAATAACAAACAAACACCTTATTCTCAACAACTTAACTACAGATGATTTTAGTGATCCAGTCATCTGATTGGTCAATCACTAAAATGTTTAAATAAAGTTTTATTATCAAATCAGATTCAAATGTTGAATTTATCTTACTTATGTTTTCAAGAATAAGGCCCAGAACAAAATGATATAAAACTTATGATATAATTTCAGATGAGATTAACTATAATAAACTGGCCATGGAAACGTTGGAAGAACTGGACTGGTGCCTGGATCAGCTAGAAACTATTCAAACACATCGGTCTGTTAGTGATATGGCATCCAGCAAGGTAGGTGCCCTTTCTTACCCCTCAATCCCTTACTTTAATACACCAGTCTGTCAGTGATATGGCATCCAGCAAGGTACGTGCCCTTTCTTACCCCTCAATCCCTTACTTTAATACACCAGTCTGTTAGTGATATGGCATCCAGCAAGGTACATGCCCTTTTCCTACCCAAATTCTTGTACCCTCAAATGTGCCATACGCATTATTCTACCCCTTCAATCCCTTACTCCAACACCTCGATCTGTCAGTGATATGGCATCCAGCAAAGTACCTGCCCTTTTTTTACCCCCATTCTTCTACCTCTCAATCTGTCGGTGATATAGCAAATGGCAAAATACCCCCATATCCCCCCCCCCCCTCAATCCCTTACTGATTGCAACACATATTGATCAGTGATATTGCATCCAGCAAGGTACATGCCCTTATTTACTCTACCCCCCTTCAATCCATCATTTCTGCCCCTCAGTCTTTGGGTGATAAAACATCACTCATTACACAATTTTGTTCCAGAATTTTTTTTAGAAACTTTGTCTGGCGCTGGTATGATGGATGACTTTATAAACGTCATCAGATTCCTTCTTGCCAATTTTGAACATTTTATCCACCCACATCATTTTATTGAAAAATAATTCTCTTAGCCCACAACTCTCATTTAGATGATAAACTATTTTGAGCCGTGATTACGATATTTCTATTGTATAAGAGTAAATGTCGAGAGCAAGTTTCTTAAGAATTGAATCAAATTGTACCAATTTACAAGTACCAACATCCTCACGGAAATACCAAACGACCTTGACCCCGATGTGAACGAGCTTTTCATTCTGAATTTAGACTTGATTAAAAACTGGCTCAGTTTCAAATGTATGGTGGCCTATAGAGACAGGCTTTGATATTTGTGGATATACATGTCCAATTCTAAACCAAAATATTCCATACTCCACCTTATGTATTGGGTAGAATATATATTGTATTTGAAAATGTAAAAGTCAGTCTTATATTGTGTTGATAAATGTTTATACTGCCTAAGAATTAAGTGGAATGTTTTTGTTCTGAATGGGACCAAGATGAGAAAATATATTATAGCTTGCTGAGATAATGGAGCAGGTAAAAGTAAGGGGTTATCTGAAAGGTATATTCCCAGAAACAGATCACTCAAATCTTCAAAATTAGATAATAATTGCATTTCTGATATCTTTAATCTCTATTGTAATCTAGCAAGGTTTTTACCACAATCCCATTAATTATTTTGTTTAAACCAATCAAATAGTCTCATATTGGACCCATTTCTTGATGACTATGATGAATTGTGGGATATGCATCCTGCTATATATAGGCCACCATAGAACTTTGTGGTAGTGGAATGTTTCAGTTGGTGACAAGTTTTATTGGCTTCTGTTAGGCGATTAGTCACAGTAGGTTTACCCACCCTCTTGGTAAGAATAGTACTGATGCCACAGCCTGTGCTTCCGAGAGCTTTACCTTCTATCACTGACTGTAGGTTGTAGAATAACCACTAGTATTATTTATATTTCAGTTTAAACGAATGTTGAATCGTGAATTGAGTCATTTTGCTGAATCAAGTAAATCTGGAAACCAGATAGCTGAATATATTTGCAGTACATATTTAGGTAAGGAAAGCTTTTTTTTCAGTTGGTTTGAATCATTCTGGCTAATTTTCCCTCATTGTACACAGCATGGTGTTGCTGGTGTTCATGTCCTAAAAAGAAAAGTGTATCTCCACACTGCTGTTTATCTGTCTGATAATTTGTCAGTTCTATATCTGAATTATTTTAGAATAGACCCACCAACTAGTACTATTGTACAAGAGAATGTTTCCTCTCTCTCTTATATCTTACCCCACCATCTCTCAAACAATGTTTTAGGTAGAGGTTCCATCACACAAACCCCCTATGTTCTACAGTCTGTGCATGTTAAAGTTCCCTCGACAGTTGGAAACCGGAAAAGAGCAGGCTACTGCAGCTGTCCTGACAAAATTTCCCTCATTGCACCCTGCATGGCTTTTCACGTCTTCATTAGCCCACATGGTGCAGAAAAGCAGGATGTAAAACTCGTGCATTTAATTTTTTTTTTGTAAATTTGACATTTACTAAGATTTTGTCTACCAAACATCTCCAAAATAATTTCTACCTCCAAGTGTTCCTGTACCAATGAACCTCATGCGGCTTAACCAGATCTTTCACCATGTTAAGTTAACCCCCTGCCTCGTAGCATAAAATGTTTCCCTGATGCCACCGACTTGTAGAAGTAAAAGTAATTGAATATATTGACCGGAATATAGACTGATATCGCAATTCACATGTTGTACAGTGTGAGTATATTTGAAGAGTATATTTGTAAAGAAAAATTGATGAGAATCTCATTGGACAGCACCATCCCCTCTTTCTAACATCACTCAGTCTTTGGTTGACCCCTGGCTCTATGACATTAACTTAGGTTTTTGCCAAATCAGCTTATGAGTGTCCTCTCCATCTTAGTGCTATTGAATTACCAAACATTACTTCCAAGTCTTCCTGTACCAGTGAATCTCACGAGGCTCAACCACATCTCTTTCCATGTTTAGTTAACCCCCTGCCTCGTTGCATACAATGTCCCTTTACAAATAGAAATAAATGTAATTCAATATATTGACTGGAATATAGACTGATATCTCGATTCACATGTTATACAGTGTGAGTTTATTTTAAAATGATAGCAAATTAGTTTTAAAACTTTTTATGAGCATGGGGAACACTGATAGCATCAATTTGTTTCATTCCCAATTCAGAAGAACTTATATTCTTCCTGCAATTCAAATATTAAAAAGGGTATTCTCATATGGCTTCTCTGTTGCTCTTAATGGAATGTTTTGTGATGAATTGATTTCAAAAATCACATGTTTGGCTATGTGACTTGTTTTTTAATCCGATGATTTCATGGGAAAATTGACACCTCAAGGCTGGAATATAATTAAGTTTATATTTTTTATTTGTATACTTGTCCTTAAAAATCGGTAAATGTTTTTCATTACGTATTGACCTGGTCAATAACTCACAAAATATCATCGAATGCCTGTAAAGAACCTATAAATCAATGAAATATTGAATAGATTTACTCACTATTTATATATATGTCTTTTCTATATATCACAGAGTATCTTGACAAGTCCTCATTTTAACATTCAAACACAGATAATTCTTAACATTGGTTTTACAAGGATCACATCTTAAGTTCATAAGGATCTTGTCTTCTAGCTGGTCCTTAGTCAAACCACTTGACATTGATCTTTCCTGGATAACAACTTAGGTTCTTGAGGATCCTTTCTACCAGGTGGTCCTTACTCAAACCACTTGACATTGATCTTTCCCGGATAACAACTTAGGTTCTTGAGGATCCTTTCTACCAGCTGGTCCTTAGTCAAACCACTTGACATTGATCTTTCCCGGATAACAACTTAAGTCCTTGACGATCCTTTCTACCAGCTGGTCCTTAGTCAAACCACTTGACATTGATCTTTCCCGGATAACAACTTAGGTTCATGAGGATCCTTTCTACCAGGTGGTCCTTACTCAAACCACTTGACATTGATCTTTCCCGGATAACAACTTAGGTTCTTGAGGATCCTTTCTACCAGGTGGTCCTTAGTCAAACCACTTGACATTGATCTTTCCCGGATAACAACTTAGGTTCTTGAGGATCCTTTCTACCAGCTGGTCCTTACTCAAACCACTTGACATTGATCTTTACACCGGATAACAACTTAAG